TCACCTCTTCTTTGGTGTTTTTCATTCTTCTGGTCGCATCTAATGATTATTACTCTTTAGAGTTCTCCCCTGACCCCTCTGAAGAAAGAAACTTTCTCTCCTCTTACTCTGTTTATTTCCTCATACCACCAATCAAAAATGAATTGTTTTACATATCTGTTTAATGTCTATGTTCACTGACTAGCTGTGACATTTATCGGGGCTAGAACTTTAATTGCTTTTCTGCACTTTTATGGCCCCAGATGTATCTCAATATTTGATATGGAGGAGGGTCTCTGTAAATATTGAATGAATGGGGGTGAGCAAGTCAATGAATGAATGTGCACATGGATGGGTAGATGAATAAAGATGCTTTCTCTGTAGTGAGTGGATTCAGAGTTTAGGGAATGATGATTTGTGAACAAGCAATTACAGTATGGTGTGATAGGTGTGACAGTGGAGCTAATTATACAGTGGTACATGTTATAGTGATGATGTAACATGAAAAGAGATACAAAAGAGATACAAGAGTTGCATGGTTTAATGCAACTTAAACCATGCCATTTTTACTATAAATCCAAGATTCTGTATTTCTATTGTAGAAAACCTAGAAAATCTATAAAAGTATAAAGAAGAAAATATTCATCCATAATCTCCTCGTGTCATTAACAAAAATACATCAATAGATGATTACCTTTTCAATTTACCCTCTTACAAGTTATCTGTTGAAGACACTTGACATTTTTTATTTTGTTGATTCTCAAGAATTCTTTTTATGAGACATGATTTAATTTAAGATTTATTTATTCATGCATACAAGAACTGGGGTATAGGCCAGATGCATAGGAGGGTGAGAGGATTTACCAGAGACAGAGTGGGGAGCAGGACAGGTGGATTGACTGAAATATACTACTGAGGGGAGCAGTGGGCGACACAGGAGAGGTCTGCCCCACCATGTGGGATTCTCCCCGGCTGGCTGGGATAGACCCTGCTCTGCAGAGGCTGCAGACAGCTTCACAGCACTGTGCTCAACTGCCTGTACCACCAGGGGAGGCCCAGATTCTCAAGAATTCTTTACGCAGAATAGAATGTTTACTTTAATTTTAAAGATGTATTTATCTATGCATATAAGAACTGGGGTGTAGGCCAGAGGTCAGGGGGTGAGAGGATTCACCAGAGACAGAGTGGGGAGAAGAACAGACAGATGTACTGAATCACACTGCTGAGGGGAGCAACAGGCAAGGCAGGAGAGGTCTGCTGCACCATGTGGGTAGCTCCCTGGCCAGGGATCAAACTCATGCTGCAGTGGCTGGCAGTAGCTTGATAGCACTGTCTTTAAACCCTGCACCACCAGGGAGGTCCAGAATATCTACTTTTTAACTGTACATTTGTTAAAAACATTTTTCTCAGCTCATTTGACTTACTTTTTATTTCAGACTTTTGTTCATTTACAGATCTTACTTTGACATCATAGCTATTAGGAAGGTACTGTATAACTTTTAAGAAAGATTTTTTTAAAGATTATTTATACAATCACTGGGTACAGTCAGAAGCGCAGGAGGGTGAGAGAATTCACCAGAGCCAGAGTGGAGAACAGAACAGGCAGACTGATGAAATACACTGCTGAGGGGAGAAGTGGGTGAGACAGGAGAGGTCTGCTGCGCCATGTGGGATCCTTGCTGGCGACCGGGAATTGAACCAGCGCTGCAGAGGCTGCGGGCAGCTTTGCACCCCAGTGCTCAACTGCTGCGCCACCAGGGGAGGCCCAAGAAATAGATTTTTAAGGTTATTAACTTTTAGCTTTAAATGATTGTGGTTAGAAAATGTATTGACCCAAACCTGTACAGCTTCTTTGAGGGATTTATTGATATTATACTTTAGCCTATTACATAACCTTTTTGTAAATAATCCATGAGCATTTGGACAGAAGTTTCATTCTCCCTTTATATTTATTAACTATGACATTGGCTAAAGTTTTCAAATACTGGTTTATTAAATAGTTTTCTTCTCTTATGACTTTTGACTCAGGCAATTAAAACTAATGTTTTTGTTCATTTAATAATTTTTAATTTTTGGTTGAAATTCTAATTTGGCACTTTTACATGAAGTTTGCAACAACTGTTTTCTGTTTATTTGCATTTCTCTATTATATGTTTGTTCAACTTGTTATTTTTAAGGTTACTGAGTCATTCTGTTTTAGGTGTTTATCTTATAGCATATAATTAGACTTTATTTAGACAGCTTGAAAATGCTTCTCTGTTTTAACCCATTTATATTTATTGTTGTAACCAAAGTGTTCTTTTTTCTTGCTTTTGCCATTTTTGTTACACAAGTTGAATAATTTCAATCTATTTGTTTAAAAATGCATTTCCTGTATTCCATTTTCTCTTTTTTTCAATTTACTTTGCTTTTTGTTTCATTTTCATTACTAAAAATAAATCCCCCAGTCTTCTGTAGAAAGGCTTCTGTTGTCTTCTTCCTTGTGGAATAAGGTAGTTATCACATTTTCATTTCTGCAAACCTTCCCCCTACCCCTTGAACAGTTTTATTTAAGTATGTCTGAAGGTCCCTGTTATCTTAATAACCTCCTCATTCCAGCATGTTGTTATGCTGGTGCCAGCTGCTCTATGTTTGCCACAATTGTCATTCTCAAGTCACTTTACATAATTCCCAGGCAGTCACATGTTGTCTCATTGGTAGATCTTACCACCCAAGGAAGCTGCCTCTCCATCACCACTTCTCCACCAGTTCCCTACTCATTTATTATAGTTGTTGGAACACTAGAACCCACTGAAATTACCAATCTCTGAATCCACAATCCTGGAGTGACCAAATGGACTGCAGAAGGCTTCTATACACATGTTTTCCTGTTGATCTCATTACCCATCTCTATCTACATGCTTGAACTGAAGAGTAACAGGCAGGAGGAAGAGGGTTTATTTTGTGGGATATTGCAGTGGGAGAGATGACAAGCTATAGGGATTTGAATCAGTAATGGCATTGATATCCAAGTAGTTTTGATCTAAAAAATAGTTGCTTTATAATGGTTCAACTTAATAGCAGCACTAGAAAGACAGGGTAGATGTGAGAAATATTAAGCAAACAACAAAAAGGCAAATGAATATGAGAAAGACAGGAGAAGTCCAGCAGAAGTCCAAATCCCACTCCTCAATTATGATGTCCATATTTCAGGAGAGTTAGCCTTTGAGTAATGAGGGAGGCAGTTTGATGGGAAAGCTGCTTAGATAGACTATTTATAAATTGTGTTTGAGGCATGGATGTGATATCTAGAGGGAAATACAGTCAGACTGGATGAGGAAGACTGATATTAGGTGAAAGGTCAAGTGCTTGGGATTATTAGTGAATTGGCAACTATTAAAGGAAGAGTATGTGTAGTAAAAATGAGTAGGGGATCGCCCCATTTAAAGACTGGATGTAGAAGAGGAAGTGCTTACAAAGAACCTATGGTCGAATAACCCTGGATTTATTATTAAAACCATAAGAGTGAATTGTCCTCTGGGTCTCAATAGAAGATTGAACAATATCTACTGGACTTCACAACTGGAGATTATTGATGTGCGTTCAAGAGTAGTTTCAGGACTAGTATCAGGGGCGGAGTCCATATTACAGCGAATTCAAGTTTTGCCATGGGAAGTAAGGATGTGTTGAGGATGAATGTAGATAACATGACTGAGAATTTTAAATGTGATTGAAGCACAACTGAACTGTACTAGAGAAGAACCTGTCACCAAAAAGTAGCCTTTAAGAGAAACCCAAGCATGTGTATGTCAAAGTCAGGATGAAAGGGAGGGTTTGGAGCTAAAGGATAGAGAGACAGACTAGAATAATGAGGAAACCAGAAGATGTATCAGCAGTATTGCCCTGCATAGTGGAGGCAGCAGAGGCAGTGGCTGGTGTGGATGGGGATTAGGGTAATGGGCTAGGAGTTAGAAGTCAGCTCCTTTGTTAGCCTCTGGCTACTTTCCTTGCCTGCTGGGATCAAGTGGATGAATGTTGAAAGGGGAGTAGGTGTGTGCTGTACAGAGTGAAGATGGGTTTGTAGTAGGGTTGACAAAGTTAAAATAAGGGCATGAAGGAAATAGGCTTTAGCAAAGAATGGTTTGGATGATTAGCCAATGGCGTGGGAGGACTTGGGGATTGTTGACAATATAGGAAGTTCCAGGCAGGTTTATGTATGAACTCTAGAAACATTGAACCTGAGGAGCAGGCTTAGGAGGAGAGGAATATGTCAAAATATAGGGAGATAGGATTACCCATTTCTGGGCTGGAGAAGGGCAAGTATGCATGTGTCATTGAAGTTGATTGGAAGACAAAGTCACTGGAATTTGGGATCTTGGGAGTGTTGGCCACGGTATCCACATAGACACACCTCCTAGGTGAATGTAAATGTTGGGTGACAAAGACACCCTTAACTGAGTTTTAAAATCTTATAAGTAACTTGGGTGGGAGTCAGAATGGAAAATTCAAAGAACTTGTTACTGTGGGATTCCTAGAAATCCTTGGAACTTATTTTTAAGAGGTGCTATTAAGAAATCCTAATGAACTGTCTTCTTTGGGGATGAGGAATCAAATCAGGGTAAAACCTCCTTAACTTAGGGTACATTCTAAGCTAAGCTTCTCCCTCACCCTTCATAAGAAAGTTGGGTGTTAGGAAGTAATTCTTCTCTGTGATTCACTTGTAACAACAGTGAAAAAGGTGCAGATTGGGGTCTCCAGGCCATGTTTGGGTTGTTTTTCCTGTATCCAAGCATTCTTTCTAAAATCCATTAAAGCTGTTCCGTGTGGCTGACTTTTCTTTTGCAAGTCACCAGAATGTGGCCTTTTTACCTTGTCTTGAAAACCCAAGGCAATTACCAGGGTAGCTTCCTTGTCTGATATAAGGCCTTTTTGGGTGGTTCTGATGGGAAGCAGAAGCAGAAAGGGTTTGGGGGCTGGGCAGCTTCCTATGATGAATGCCTACAACCACTTGTGCGAAATTGACTCCCTCCTGTGTGTTGCAGGTGATATTTGAATCCGTCTCTTTGAAGGGTCATCCTGGCTACATCGCTGTGGACGAGGTCCGGGTCCTGGCTCATCCATGCAGTAAGTCTGTTCCCTCCTCCGAATGCTGTCTTGCTTCATGGCAGACCGGGTAGCTGAGAAACTGCAATCCCCCCTATTCATTCAGCTCACAAACACATCTCACTCTCTCTTTTTTAATCCTTCAAAAACGCTTACATGTTCAATGCAATCAGTCCTGAATAAATCCATAATTTTGCTGGCCTGTTCAACAGGCAGCACCTAGAGGAATTTGCAAAGAGTGGCAAAACATCTTCGTTTGAATCTCTCTCCATTATTAAGGGAGTCTAAAGTCCTGATTGTTTATTAGTGGGATTCAGACCACTGAAGTGGAAGAATTAGAGGGCTTTGGATAGAATTTTGTGCAATTGTCTTAAAAAAAGAACACCACCAAAACACTGAGAAATTAGCGCACTGTTCACTCACAGGGAAACATACCCCAAAGCTATTAATTCTTTAAAAGTAATTTTAAATATACTCATCAGCTCCCTTGTAGGCGTAAGGAGAGATTTCTCACAGTGGTTAGTACTTATGGTATAGTGTTAAGAGTGCTCAAAGGCCCTGCGGGCCCGTCCAAATTCCCCTGGAGCGTCTCTCTTGGCTGGATTTAGTTTACCATCTTTGACTGGGTTTGAGTAAAGAGCTCTGATTCCTCGGTTCACTATATCTCAGAGGTGACAGGCCCTGGGTGCAGTATTCGAGATCTTGTGACATTTGGTGTGTGTAGGTGGGAGCTGACTCAAAGATATGTGGATGGGGATGATAGCAGCCTCTAGGAGGGCTAACTGGGGTGTCTCCCCAATTTGGTAGTATGCTACAGAGGAAATTCCCATTAGTTTCTGGCTCTAGTTTCTGCTATTGACCTTGGTGCAGTTTGCCATTCCCTCAAGAGATGTCCTGTGTCATTCTCATTCCAGCCTTCTCCATGTTGCTTTCATTGAAATGACTCTACTTCTGCAACAAGTTTGTCAGTTCCTCCAACATCAACATTCCTTTCCTTGGCACTAGAACACCATTGTTTGACTTATTGCTGGAGCACCATCTCTGGAGGCATTTGGGACACGTTCACAGGGTTTTGGCAAGATAAATATGATCACTGTACCAGGGAGTCCTCCTTCCCAGAAATCGGCCTTCCTCCTGGAGTGCTCAGCTTCAGCTAGACTCTCCATTAGTCTGGCCTGAGAGCCCAACTCTCTGGGTCACTTCCTGAGTTTGGGATTATTTTCAGATGTGTCTCTCAATCATGTCTGGCAAACGTTTCTGTAGAATCACATCTCGTGTGAAGAGAGTCCCCACAACCTACCCCACCCTGCCCACCATTCCAGCAATGCAGCATTTTTGAGTAGATGAGTTCCCCTCACCAGGATTAAGTCTTCCCCTTCCTTGACTCCTAGGAATTAGCATCAGTTAGTTGCCCATTGGAGAAGGGTCTTCGGTTTCAGGCTGGGCTGACGTGCTGGGTGGTGTCTACTCTGTATGTGGCCACTTCTCCACACATGCTCTACCCTCTGCAGCCCAGGTTTGCAGTCTCTCTCAAACAAATCTCAGTCTTTCCCAAGCTGGGCTTCCTCTAGAGGACACTCACCTTGACTTGCATTCCTACTTACCCTGTGCTTGGTGCTTTCATTTGCTCTTTCTAGTATGTGGTATGTGGCTCTTGCCGTAGATTATGGCCTGACTCTCCCAGGACCCCGACACTCGGCTCTAAAGAGAGTGTTCACCTCTAGCTTGAGACCCAAGCTTCCTACTCTCTCTTGATCCAGTCTCAACTTGGCCTTAATGCCAAGCACTGTCCATGGTTTCCCTTGACAGCCAAATGCTTCTTTCTCTATAAGAACTATACACAGGAGAAGGTTTTCTGGATGGAGTTCGGAGCTGTCTTCCTAACTCCAAAGCTCATGGCTCCTCTTAGAATTGTAAGGGCTGCTCCTGAATTTAGGATTCTCCTGGCTTCCTCGACTCCTCCTGCCAAGGAGTGTGGGTTGCATGCTCGCAGAATCACTGAGAGCCAGTTACCCCACAAATGGGCCATGGGATACAGCTCAGGAATACATAACTCTGGCTGTGTTCCTGCAAGATGTGCTTTGGCTAAGTTCCACTCTGATGCTCAGGCAACTTGAGCTTAAATTACCCAGAAATCAAAATGTGATCATTTTAATATCACAGAAATCAATTCTGGGATAGTGGCTGGAATTGGAAACAATCCATTTAAGCATATGTACAAATACTGGCAGTGCATATAACTCATCAGAGGTGTGTCTACAGCTCATGTGGAATTGGGTAGAGTCTACAGAAGCCCCTTCCCAAGACCTGGCTCTGTCTGTCCATATCCAGTCCAAGTTTCTATTTAACCTTTCTTTCCACGAAGAAATGATTGAGCACCAGAGCTCCTGCTGGGCGTAGGAGATACTAAAGTGATCACAGTGGGTTAGATCCTTGTCCTTATGGTGTTAACTTAGCACAGGGGGAGAAGAAGGAAAGACAGGAAATGCATGGCTAATATTAAATAGTAATTGACATCAAGGAAATGACTGATACAATTTCAGACAGTGCTAGTGCTCTGGACGGGGGTGTGGGCGGGATCCTCAGAAAGTGTGGTATTTTTGAAGGTGTGTTCTGAGCAGACACCTGGGTCATGGGAGGCAGGTCTCTGCATAAGGGTTTGTTTGGGCAGGGAGCTCCTCTGCCAAGCAAAGTACATACAGATGCTCTGCCATGCTCCAGCGAGGACCTGCGTGCTGCTGTCAGGTCATCCCGGGTATCGGGACACCAAGGCGAGAGACCTCAGGGACTGTTGGGGAGGAAAGTAGTTCTGACCCTCCAGGACCCTGGATGTTATCATGACCAATTTAGATTTTTAAGAGCAGGGAGGTGTCAACTGGCAGAATTTGTGCCGGGACTGATGTCATCTCACAGACTTGCTAAAAGATCACTTTGGCTGCCCTGTGGAAATTGAGTTGAAGGGGAATAGATAAGTCAAGACAACTATTAGGAAGAAAGTTCTGGAGTCTTGGAAGAGAGGGTAGTGGCCGGACCTGGGTGTTGTTAGGTTTCCACTTATCATTTGACGTGTTTATGCACCTCCCTCTACCCCAGGTGCTGTCCTGACAGAGTCAGGCAGATTCATCCTGTGCCCTCACTGGGCTTCCACTGAAATCAGTGAGACAGACAATGAAACAAATAATCAGGTCACCACAGATGACCTGATCGACAGATTCATTTTGCTGTTAGTTTTGTATTAGTTTGCTTACAGGTGCCACTAAACATCCCAGATTGGGTGACTTAGATCTAAGGCTAGAAGTCCAAGCCTAGACGTCCACGGCAAAGTCGGATCCTGTCCTTCACCTTGGCTTGCGATCTCTCTGTGTCCTTACATGGTCTTCCCTCTCTGCACACATTTTCTCCTATAAGGATACTAGTCAGATTGGATGAGGATCTACCCTAACCACCTCATTTTATAATCGTTTCCTCTGTAAATTCCCTGTCTCCAAATGCAATCACAGTCTGAGATGCTGGGCTTGAATCTCCAATATATGAATTTGGGAGGAACCGAGGGCAGGCAGTGCTATGATGAGGCACAGAGCATGGAGGTGGGGTAGTAGTTTAGTGACGAGGGAGAGGCAGCTGGTTTTGTTTGATGGGTTGGATTGGGAGGCGGAGATGTCACAAAGGGCGCCCACTTAGATTTCTGGCTTCAGTGGCTGGGTGGTGCAGGCTGAAGGTGGTGAGAGTCTGGGGAGAATCAGGCACCAAGTTGCCAACCACTCAGGGGTAGTGGGTCTGCTTGTGGGGTCCAAGGCAATGCACCCCACATGTGGCTTCTGCACTGTCCTTTGACTGAAAGTGCTCCCCGTCCCCTTGACTCCAGCTTTAGCATTAATACATTTATGATTTCACTCTAGATTGTTAAAAATTGAAATATATTGAGAACTATGCATTCTCTTTATGTCCTCAGGCTTTTAAATTCTGTACTTCTGTCTTCCAAATCAGGTTTTCTATTAACATATGGTCAGCATTTATCATTAAGCGAGTCCACTAAATATGCCAAGAGTTCCAGGGCGGGTTTGTGTGTGATGTGCAATTGTATTCGACTGATTTAGGCTGGGCTTTATGATTTTAGAGATGGCCTCACAGCTTCCAAAACCGGACCACAAGACAGGTGCCATACTCAGAGAAAATTATTTTCTCTTACACACTCAAAACTCTCGTCTATTTTTAATTATTATTATTTTTAAAAAAGATTATTTATTTATTTATACAAGCACTGGGTACTGTCAGAAGTGCGGGAGGGTGAGAGAATTCACCAGAGCCAGAGTGGGGAACAGAACAGGCAGAAGGACCGAAGTACACTGCTGAGGGGAGCAGCGGGCGGCAGGAGAGGTCTGCGCACCATGTGGGACCCTCCTCTGGTGGCTGGGGAGCAGCTGGGGATCAAACCGGCACTGCAGAGGCTGCGGGCAGCTTCGCAACCCAGCGCTCAACCACTGCGCCACCGGGGAGGCCCTCTCGTCTATATTTTATAGCCCATTTAATGTTTTTGTATTATTCTCAAAGTATTTTAGCCACAGTTACCCTCTGCCGCTGTTTCTTGGTGTTAGCCGTTAGCAGGGCTACTGTGGTTATAACCGTGTGTGATAAATGTCAGCACAATTTCCACCCTGTTTTGAAGTTTCTAGCTCCTGTGTTGACTGTTAGCATTTTATAAATTTTTCCTTTTTTTCCATCTCACCCTCACAGCGCCATGTCCCTGGGCCCACAGACAGTCTGCAGCACGTACTGGGCTCTCTTCTCCTTCGTCTGGCTTCCTACCGAGCACTGTCAGGTTTAAAGAGTGAGATAAAGGGCACAATAATGTGTCTTCAGATGCTGCACTGACATCTGCAGGAGTTTAAATGTCACAAACATCAAGGCATTTTGCCCCAAATGCACAGCCAGCTTTCTGTTAACCCCAAACCACAAGCTGGTGGCTGGGCTGCACCTCAGGGTCCACTGTGTTTTCCAGAAGGTTGATGACTGGAAGCTGCTGGCATCCTTCCTACCTCAGAGCTGTAGATGCAGGGGGACTTGCCCTTGAGAGAGTTGAGTGCAGACCTCAGAGTATGGAGCTGGAGGGATGATGGGGCTCAGAGAGGCCAGGGACTCAGATGTGCTGAAACAAGACCCCAATATAAAGAGGTTCCCCAGAGAGAGCCAGCTCTCGTGAGCTAGGGATGAGCTAGGGCTCGCAGCACAGAGACAAGGGTTAGGACCACAATCTAGATAGGGGTCATGTGATCCTGGAGGGGTGGGAGTGTCATCGGACTTATGGGGCCAGACTGCTCAATATAGACCACTGGGAATTGTTCATAAACTTACGTGAGAGCTATGTATCAGAGACCACAAACAAGAAGCACTGCTGCTCATGTGCTTTAAGTCTGCCTGGTTGTTTTCATAAAATTCAGCCTAGATTTTAGAATGAGAGTTTTCAGATTGAAATTTCAAGTTCTTACCTGTCTTGAGAAATCAGATGATTGGCTACCTTGAGCCAAGCACTCTTGCCTGGCCTTTGCTTCCTGCATTTAAGTAGCAGCTGCCCCTTTTCAAGTACTTGCCTCTTCTTTTTGCAGCCCCCAAATTGAGGCTGGTGTCAGTTATCAGTATCGTGCTTGCAGTGTTTGTTTTCTTCTCTAGAGAAGTCTTTATTTTATCCAAGTTTCTATCAGATGTGGGGAAAGTGAAAGGTGGGGTTTGGAGGTGGTGGATTTTTTTGTTTTGTTTTATAACTGAATCACTTGATTCATTTACTTAACTGTCTGGCGTCGGCAGATATATGAGGTCAACATCTCTGCTGAAAATCATCAGGGATTTGTCAGAACATGATCACTAGGGGCCATTAATCCTCTAGGTTCTCTAACACTGAACCATAAGGGAGGGAAGTGGAGGATGTGAGGAGGGAGGAATCAAGGCTGGTGTGATGGTGAGAATAAAGGGAAGTCAGAAGCAAGGGGCACTGGTCCCAAGAAAATCCATTTCTGGTTGCATAGACCCCAGAGGTTAAGCCACTTGCTCAGTGTCCCCGAGGGTAGAAGGGACATCCCCGAGAGACCCAGCATAGGGCCTCCCAGCGCTGGTGTTAAGGGCCTGCTCTGCCTCCTCCCATTAACCCCCGGCGGAAGTGGGCACACCAGCTTTACTCTCTTCCGCTTGAACTGGTGGTTCCAAAAATAACTTTACAGAATTTTCCAGGAGAGCAAAAAGGAAACAATTCCAGACATCAGAGCAGCCTGGCATTTGTAGGTTCAGCAGACACAGGCATCTCCAAGGAGCCCGAAGGAAGAGGGTTCCCCTGGGCCTGGGGCTCTTGACACTCCCATAGCTGTGGGATCCTGAAGGTAGCAGGCAGCATCTCTGAGCTCGTGGCATCTCAGCAACTGAGCAGGTGTATGATTTGGCCCAGCAGACCTGCCTGTCAGGTCAAGGTTCTCAGCTTCTGCTGGGCCTGGTAGGTGGAGATGCAGTTTGGTAGATAAGATGGTTCTTATCGTGACTTCCATGAGAGAGATGGCACAGAAAGGCTCACTCGTGGTGAAATACTTGGCAGCACTGAGAGTAGCTGGGAGAGTCAGCACAGTCTTGCCTGTGAACTTTTCCTTTGGCCGCTGGGGTGCAGGTGACCCTGGGGTGCAGCACCCCAGAGCAAGAGAACATGCTAATTAAAGGCTGAGTTTTGGGTTAAAATGGACCTGGACTGAATTTTGTTTCTATCTCTTCCTCACACTGTGTAGCTTAATAATTGTGTTTGCTTAAATGAAATTAAATGAATAATTTAATAACAGCATGTCTGCTTACAGGAATGTTATGAAGTTAAATTAGATAAAACACATGAAGATGGCATTGTCGGAAGTGTCAGTAAACAACATTGCTGTTATTTGCCCCTCTGGATATTTGAATTCCTCTGGAAAGGGGCAAAGACCCCCAAATGTCTGTGATCCACTTAGTAACTCTACTGGGTCCCTCTGGGGGATGCCCATTTATTGTAGATTAGGTAAAAATGGTCTTTGGCACCACCACAGCAGGTGTCTCCACCTTTCCCCCCTCCTCTGCTCTTCACCTTCCTCATCTTCATCATCACTGTCATCATGAAGACCAGGCATGTGGGTCTCCAGCTCAAAGGTGCTTCACTTCAGTTATTTTTTTGTTCTGTTCATCCGGGCTATAGGGTAGATTCCTCTATGGTGAAGCCTCCTGCCCCCACCTCTGATTTCTCCTGATCGTGATGGTATTGCCCAGCAGCTAATAATCTGAGTTTTGAGGTGCTTGGAGACCAGGATTCATTGTCTTGGGTTTCCCGCTCTCTGGCTCTATGACTCTGCCTAGCTCTGCAACCCCTCACAGCCTTACATTTCTGATCTGTAAAACAGAGAGTGCCCAGTGCATGGTGCTTGTGAGGTTTAAGTCATTGATGCATGGAAACTCTTAGAACAGTAAGTACCTGGCTCATCGTAATTGATGAGTTGACAGTAGCTTTCACCAAGACATACCACCTCCTCAGCACAAATACCCCCACCCCACCCTGCTCAGGTCCCAGTGCCCATCCTGAGTTGCCGTGTACTGAGAGGGAGGTGGTGCAGGCTGTTGAACTCTGTCCTCATGTGCTCTTTGACCTCTCTCTTAGGAAAAGCACCTCATTTTCTGCGACTCCAAAACGTCGAGGTGAACGTGGGGCAGAACGCCACGTTCCAGTGCATTGCTGGTGGCAAGTGGTCTCAGCACGACAAGCTCTGGCTCCAGGTAAGGAAGGCAGTGGCCCCCTCCTCACACCTGCGTATTCCTTGGCAAGGGAGGAAAGAGTGTGCTGTGATGATAGGGCTTGGTGGGTCAGGCGGAGGGCTGTTTTTTGAGGACCTCTTCTCCTTGGATGATGCTCTTTATCCATGATCTTCTTCAATCTAAACCTTCTTTCTGTTCTGTGGGCAAGCTCTGTCCTTTTGGCCTGGGTTCCCAGCTAAGCAAACTGAGTGTTTAGATTTTGGGTATGTAACATCGTAATCTTAACTGGAGCAATCTTGGTTTCTTGGCATGCATCAGTTTCCTTTGTGAGGGGTAACTCCCGTCCATAGCATCTGGATGAAATTAGAGGTCACCCTTCACCAGAATATTTCACTAAATGAGCAGAGCCATTTGCTCTGACCATGACCATCAGGAAGGTCTCCCAGGAGGGCATGCTAAATTTTAATCTGTTTCACTCTTATTTTAGCTTTTGAGACTACTCCCAAAGCCAGAGGGGAAAGGATTTTTTTGGTGGAGGTAGGAGAGAGGGGTGGGAAGCAGACACAAACTGTTAGAGCACCGTGCATGTCCCCTCAGTGCTAGCAGAGACACTAAGTGCTAAGGTAGCCAGATAGGAGAGCTGTGCTGCTCAGGGAAGGCGCCATGGCCACCTGTATTTAATGTATTGGTATTTTTAACATTTTCTGATTTTTTTTAATTTTTAAAAGATTTATTTATGCATTTTTTATTTATGCATTTATTTATACAAGAACTGGGTTGCAGGCCAGAGGCATGGGGGAGTGAGAGGATTCACCAGAGACAGAGTGGGAAGCAGAACAGGTAGATTCACTGAAGTACACTGCTGAGGGGAGCAGCAGGCGAGACAGGAGAGGTCAGCTCTGTCAGCAGGCAAGACAGGAGACGGTCAGCTCCTGGCCGGGGATGAACTCATGTCACAGCAGCTGACTTTAACCCCTGCACCTCCAGGGAGGCCACTTGGTTGTTTTTTATTTTAAACTACTTTATTGAGGTATAATTGAGATACAGTATTTAAAGTATTTTGAGAAGTTTTGACATAGGTTTATATGTGAGACAGTGACTGCAGCCAATATAATGGACTACCCATCAGCCCAGAAGTTTCTTTGTCCTCATTTGTTACCCCTTCTTTCAGCCCCTGTCAACCTCATTGGTCCCCAGGCAATTCTGGTCTACTTTGTCACTGTATATTATTTGCATATTTCAGAATATTATATAAACAGCATCATGCAGTATGTACTCATCCTTCATGCATCATAATTATTTTGAGGTTCAACTATGGTGTTGTATATCTTAAACATTTGTTGTTGTTGATAAATATTCTACAATTTCTTTATCCATTTGCCTGTGGGTGGACATTTGGATAACTTTTTTTTGGCTATTAGAAAAAAAAAAAGATGTCATGAATATTCAGGGACAAGTCATTAATTACATGGACACAGACTTTCATTTCTCTTTGGTAAGACCTAAAAGTGGACTGACTGGGTCATGCGGTAGGTGTGTGTTTGACTTTTCAAAGAATTGCCAAGCTCTTTCCCAAAATGCTTGCACCTTTCTCCATGCCTATCAGTGGTGTGAGAGGTCTAGTTGTTCCACATCCTCCACATCCTCACCAATGCTATGGTTCATCTTTGTGGTGTCCGTCATTTGAATAGGAGTTAATGGTAGCTGGTTATGCTTTAAGAATTCTTTTCTCTTTATGGCTAATGATGAACATCATTCCCTATGCTCCTTTACCGTCTGTATATCTTCTCTGGTGAAATGTCTATTTAAATATTTAACTCATTTTTTATTGGTTTGTTTGCATTCTTGTTCTTGAATTTTGAGAGTTCTTTATATATTCTGGATACAAGTCCTTTGTCAGGTGACATCCTCTGAAAATATGTTCTCTCCTACTGTGGTTTGTCTTTTAATTTTCTTAATAGCATGATTTGAAGAGCAACTTATTAATTTGGACAAAATCCAATTGATCGTTTCTTCCACAGTTTTGGATTTTGTTTTTGACCCCATTTCTAAGAAACCCAAGGTCACAAAGTTTTTTCCCTAAAATTCTTTCTAGAAATTGTATAATTTCAGTTTTTACATTTAGGTCTATGATCCATTAAGAGTTAATTTTTGCATATGATGTGAGGTATGCATTGGAATTGATTTTCGTGCATTTGAATAGCTCAATTGTTCAAGCATCATTCATTTATGAAAATGATTGTTGTATCATTTTCATCTCCATTTATGTGAGACTATTTCTGGTTTTTTATTCTTTTTCCATTGATCCATTTGTCTATCATTCTACCAATATCACATTATTTGATTACTGTAGCTTTGCAGTAGTTTTTAGTTTTGAAATCAGGTATTGTCAGTCCTTCAATGTTACTATTTTTTTTTTCAGGTGACTTGGCTATTCTAAAGTGTTTGCATATCCATATAACTTTTAGAATCACTCTGCCAGTTTCTACCAAAAAGCCTTTTGGGATTCTGTTGAACTTGATCACAATGATTCTATAGGTCACTTTAGGGAAAACTTATCTTAGCAATAATGTGTCTTCTGACCATTAGCATGGCATTTTTCTTCATTTATTGAAGATCTTCAGTAATTTCACTCAGTGTGTTTTTGTAATTTTTAGTGTACAGTGTCATACATACTTTGTCAGACTTATTCCCTGAGTATCTCATATTTTTTATGCCCTGGTGAAAGGCATTTTAAAAACATCAATTTCTTATTTTTCAGTGCTAATATATAGAAATACAATAGACTTTCATATATACAATAGACTTTCATGTATAAATCTTGTATTCTTTATCCCTGTCAAATTCACCATTTATTTATAAATGAATTAAAATAAAATTCGAGTCATAGGTCACCCGCCTTATAGCCACATTTCAAGTGCACGGTAGCCATGTGTATCCAGTGGCTACCATGTTGGACAAACAAAAATGGAGAATATTTCCAACACTGTAGGAACTCTTACTGGAGGGGACAGCTCTAGGAAGATGTTGCCTCTGATTGAAAGAAAAAGGAATATTTCTTGAAGAAATATTGACATAGTTTGGGTGTTGGTCCCTAACCCATACCCAGCACTCTAAGCTGGGAATTCTGGCCTGGGAATTCATAGTATCACTTCTGTTCTTGCACTTAAGTCCACTTCCAGCCACTGGGAAATCCCAGGACACAAGGAGAGAGAGCACAGTTCTTCCTTGCTCCTTAGCAGTGCACTAGAGTGAAAATAATGGTAATGTCTGCCCCTCCTCTTCCTGGGCTGCCAGCAGACCCCAGGAGAACAGAGTAAACTTCCACGTGTCACCTGAGTATTAAGTAGTGTTATTTACTCTTTTCATTCTAATTAGTATTAAAGTGCACTAGGCTCCCGAGGAGTTCTGTCATTTCCACACCATTGCCTCACTTGGGTCCCGAGAATGAAACCAGTCAATCACAATACCTTCAGCAACTTTATTTGGGTCTTCCAATTATTTTATGATTGCTACAGTTATTGCTGCAGCTCTGAAAGCTGTGCCCCAAACCTGGGCTCTATCAGTGGAAGGATGTTAAAGCAGAATGTAATTGAAGTCTTGAAGAAAATAGGTAGAAACACCCAGAGTGGAACTCTTGCAATCTTATTTATTTACCTGCTTTTCAGTGTAAACCAAATCTTATTTCACAGAACATTTTTCAGGTGGCTTACAATGGGACATAAAATATGACAAGATAGCATAAATTAAAAGTGAGGCAATGCAAGAGAGAAGGAAAAGAACACAGCAGAGCTGGTCACAATGCAAAATCTGCCTTTTTCCCCCTATCTGCTGGTGGGTCACAGGCGGAGCACACAGCACGGCAGCTGCCCACGGATGAAAGGAACCTCGTCAGATGCACAGGTTATAGTGTCCGCCAGATAAACACAAACCAATTGCTTGAGAAAATTCCGGCTGTTCACATAGAGGCAAGACAGTAATTGTTCCCAGGAGTGCTCATAATGACAATGGCGTGTGATGCTGCGAGTGTGCTCTACCACAGCCTTCTTGCGGCCACACGAGGATGTGGCATAGTCTTGTTTCACTTAAAGATGCTCAGTGTAAGAGGCAGCCAAAGAGGGCCAGTGGGGAGGACAAATTCCCAGTCCTCTGTGAATCCATCTCCATCCAGGATATTTTCACCCTATTGGCGAGTCAGTGGATTTGACAGCTACTTCATGGAAACCTCCTGAAATACTGTCTCCCTTGTGTGTATTTCAGAAAATATTGGGAAGTAGACAGTACACACTGTGCTCTCTGGCCCATGCCTGCTTGGCAAGTTAGGTCTAGACTTACACTCAGTGGTGCAGGTGGGAGTAGGTTAATATCTGTCTGGAAAACAGGAGGGGTCTGCCGTGACACCTGGTCTTTGGAAGACAATGGCAGCCCCCACCTGAGACAGGCCAGGGCCGTAGTTGATTTCTCAGCAGGTATTGCTTGGGATTGTTCCAGCACCTGAAGGAGAGAGCTAAGACTCACCCAAGTTCTGTCCTGTTTAACAGGGCTGGGGGGACATAGCCAGAGGATTTCCAAAGAGAATGAAAGAGGCACATTGTGGCCCAGAGAATCTCCACACGACACCTGTCTTTGTGGAAGACCTTGCCGCTTGCTCTTCTCAGTGGCTCCTGAGCAGGTGCTCCATGGCCCCAGGCTCCCTACAAAGGATCTGCTCACTTGTAGGCTTGTACAATAATTGATGCCTGATGAGACCCAGCAATGAAGCCCTGTGTCCAAATGCTCTGCTCACATCTCCAGAAGGGCAGCAACATGCACTTCCCAGGCACTGGAGAGGGGCAGACCCTAACCTGGCAGGAAAAGGCTTCTGCCTGTGATTCAGTAGTGCCGGGGCTGGCAAGATAAGCAGAAGTGAGATAAGCAGTCCTCATGGTGCTGCTGCTTCCAGTAAACCTGTTTTCTTGTTTCCGCAGGGCTGGTCCTGGCTCTCAGGGTTGTGGGTGTTCTGGAACCAGCTCTGCCTCCTG